CAGGAGGCAGAGGCAGGTGGATCTCTGTGAGTTCAAGGCCAGCTTTGTCTCCAGAGTGAGTGCCAGGACAGTCAAGGCTACACAGAGAAAGTCTGTCTTGAAAAACAGGGAAAATATTCATCATAAGTCTTCTCAGAGGTCAATTTGAATTCGTAATTGATTGTATATCTGTGTTTACCGGTGGCTTTCGACTTAATCTCCACACTCCTAACTACTACATGAATATCTATCCCCAGGCTACTACTGGCATCCTTAGCCTTTTTGTTCATTTCTGTCACTACTTCAGCATTTTCCAGGTTGGTGATTAAGAACTGTTGGGTGTGGTAGTACATGCCTATAATCCCAGCTACTTGGACAGCTGTGGTAAAATCATATGACCAGCTTCTGTAACTTACTAAAACTGTCTCAAAGCTGGGTGGTGGCGCACACCTTTAATCTCAGTTCTCCGGAGGCAGAGTTGGATCTCTGTGCAAATCTAGACCAGCCTAGTATACAGAACAAGTTGCAGGACAGCTAGGACTACATGGAGAAACCCCATCTTGAAGAAAAAAAAAACCTGTCTCAAAATAAAAATATTTCAGATAAGTGTTGGGAATGTAGTTCAGTGGTTAAGCATTAGCTTAGCATTCTCAAGACCTAGAAAGGAAGGGAGGGAGGGAGGAAGGAAGGAAGGAAGGAAGGGAGGGAAGGAAGGAAGAAAGAAACCTGCTTATGTGTAAGTTAACCACTAACTTCTCTACCATACCCAAGGAAAACCTTGGCATGCCCCATCATCCTTGTGCCCCCTTCCTTGGGAGTCTTCTCTGCTCTGTTACAGACGCTACGTGACCAAACCCGCCTCAGAAGAGGATGATGGAGACGAGAAAGGTAAGGCCCTGGAAGATGAGAAGGGCCCGATAAGGATGAATGTATCTTAGTAGGGGTAAAGGGCTGAAGAGCAGTAGGTTTGGGGGATATGTATGACCCATATAGGGATCTTCAGTATGTGTGGAAGCCCAGTGCCCTGGAGTGCCCACATCTCCATCCCTTTTGTCCTTCTCATCCTAGGTGATGAGGAGGAAGAGGAGGAGGAGGATGAGGAGGAAGAGGATGAGGAGGAGGAGGAGGATGACAACGAAGACAGCAGCAGCGATGAAGAAAAAGAGGAAATTCCTGAACCTTCCACTAGCAATGATGATCAAGAAACAGAGCAGGAGCAGGCTGGGCCCAGCTCTGGGGGCACCAGGAGATGCCCATTTCTCTTAGACAACAGCCTTCACACATCTCAGTGGCCCCCAAGGCGACGGCGAAAGCAACTGTTTACCCTGCAGACAGTGAACTCCAATGGAACCAGTGACCGGAACACCTCCCCTGAAGAAGTTCAAAGTATGTCATTTGACTGGGGTTGCAGATAACAGGAGGGTCTCCTAGTAACAGGAGCATAACCATCTCATCTCCTCTGCACCCCTAGCCCAGCCATACATTGCCATGGATTGGGAGCCGGAGATGAAGAGGCGTTACTACGATGAAGTAGAGGCTGAGGTAAATGGGAATGGGACCCTAGGGATGGGAGACCCTTGCAGCTCATACCTCAACCCTTTATGCATCCTCCCCCTAACTTCAGCTAGGAACAGAGCCAAGAGATCCAGGCCAGGGTCAGCCTGACCTTGGCACCTGCACACTTCTGGGAACGCCATGGCCTCAGGTTCTAACTCACCTAGTGTGTGATTCCACACTGCCCTATTTTTCTTGACCTTGCTCATGCCTGACCCTCTGGGTACTAACCCCCCCTCCCCAGGGATATGTGAAGCATGACTGCGTGGGATACATGCTGAAGAAAAGTCCAGTGCAGCTGCAGGAGTGCATCAAACTCTTCACCACTGTGGAAACCCTTGAGAAGGAGAACCCCTGGTGAGGGCCTGTCATGGTCATGAGACGTTTCACGAGTGGTACTAGCTTTGTTTAACAGAAGTACTCACAAACTAGAAAAATGAAAGTAGCAGGCATACTGAAAGTCAGAGTTCCTTTACAAAATGGCAAGAAGCCATGCAGGGCTGCATGTGAAGTTGTCTGGGAGGGAGAGGGAATGAGTGAGCACGAGTCTCTATAGACCAGATGGTGTGCATAAAGAACACACGAGACATGAGGTGGGTGCTCAGAGTGTCCATCCCTGACTTGGCTTCTATCTGTAGGTACTGCTCCTCCTGCAAGCAGCACCAGCTGGCCACCAAGAAGCTGGATCTCTGGATGTTGCCTGAAGTTCTCATTATCCACCTGAAGCGTTTTTCATTCTCCAAATTTTCTCGGGAGAAGCTGGACACCCTGGTGCAGTTTCCTATCCGGTCAGAACCCTTGGAGAGAAAGGCTGTGGGGGAAATGGGATGGTACAGGTGGAGCACGCCAGGATTTATTGTCTTCTCACCCACAGGGATCTGGATTTTTCCGAGTTTGTCATCAAACCAAAGAATGAGTCTACTCCAGACATGTACAAATACGATCTCATCGCAGTTTCCAACCATTATGGTGGCATGCGTGATGGACACTGTATGTACCATCTGTGGGCAGGGACATGCCCTGGGGGAATCTAGACTAGTGGTCAGGATGTACCCAATGTGACTAGACACTGGGCCAGAGACAAAAATCATCAAGGCAGGAGGAACCTAAAAGTAGATGTGGATGGAAACCCCAGAGAGCCAGGAAGGTGGTAAGGATGACTTTTTGTTCATTTCAGATACGACATTTGCCTGCAACAAGGACAGTGGCCAGTGGCACTACTTTGATGACAATAGTGTCTCACCTGTGAATGAGAACCAGATTGAGGTATAGCTTCTGTATCCCCACTTGTTCCCTTTCCTATTATCCCCTTCTGACTTCCGAACTGACCCATGTCCTCTTCCTGCAGTCCAAGGCAGCCTATGTTTTGTTCTACCAACGCCAAGATGTGGGTCGCCGCCAGTCCCAGACTGCTTCATCCAATACCCCAGCTTCTCCTGCCTCTGGTTCTCCATCCAATCCTGAAGTCATGGATGTTAACTAAGGGGAACTGGAACTACCACAGAGAAAGAAGCCCCCTTTGCCACTTCCTCTTGTCAACCCCCTCCCTTACCTGTGTTCATTGCCCCCAGGCATTGCAGGCTTAGTTCGTGGCTACTGTATTCTTGTATCGCTGTATTACTCTCTCAGAAAGAAGAGGCCCTGCGCCCCTGGCCAACCGTGTGCCCCTGGCCGACCGTGTGCCCCTGGCTGACCGTGTGCCCCTGGC